TTGTACTTCCCATTTCCAGGACTCAAGTCCGTCTATATAAAAATAACCTGTTTCCCTGAATCCCTTCACTAAATATTACCCTGCTCATACTTCAACAGCTCGTAAGGTCCCAAAAACCATTCGTCTACATTCACTCCTATTTAACACACTCACGCACGCTTGCTGAAGTCCAAACTCCTCGCCCACAAAACCACCTTTACCCCCTCCCTCCAGCCTTTTCGAGGACGACCCCTACCCCGCCTTCCTTCCCTTACAGATTTATACGCTCTCCAAGTCATTCTACAATGTTCCATTCCCTCTAAATGAAAAAACCATCTTATCTGCCCCTCTTCAGCCCTCTGACTAATACTTTTAGTAACTCCACACCTCCTAATTTCCACACTACAAATTCTCTGCATAATATTTACACCACACATTGCCCTTAAACATATCTGCTCTGCACTGCCTCCAGCCGCCTCCTCGCTACAGCATCTACAACCCATGCTTCACACATTTAAGAGCGTTGGTACCATTATGCTCTCGTACATTCACTTCGTTGCCTCCATGGATAACGTTTTTGTCTCCACAGATACCTCAACGTACCACTCACCTTTTTTCCTTCATCACTTCTGTGATTAACCTCATCCTTCATAAACCCATCCGCTGACAAGTCAACTCCCAAATATCTGAAAACATTCACTTCTTCCATACTCCCTCCTTCCAGTGTGATGTTCAATTTTTCTTTATCTAAATCGTTTGATACCTTCATCACCTTACTCCTATCAATGTTCACTTTTAACTTTCTATCTTTGCACACCCTTCCAAACTCGTCCACTAACCTTTGTAACGTTAATTCAGAATCTCCCAAAAGCACGCCCCTGAGGGAAGGTTCCTTGATGTTGGTGAGGGGTTCTTGATTTAGGGAATTGGATCTGTGCTCCAGCTCCCCGAATTAAGCCTGAATGCCTTCCACATCCCCCGCAGGCGCTGTATAATCCTTCGGGTTTAGCGCTTCCCCTTGATTATAATAATAATAATCCCAAAAGCATGGTGCCATCAGCAAAAAAGTAACTGTGTTAACTCCCATTTTGTATATGATTCCCCATAATTTAATCCCGCCCCTCTCCCCAACACCCTAGCATTTACTTCTTTTACAACCCCATCTATAAATATATTAAACAACCATGGTGACATTACACATCCCTGTCTAAGTCCTACTTTTACCGGAAGTATTCTCCCTCTCTTCTACACACCCTAACCTGAGCCTCACTATCCTCATAAAAGCTCTTTACAGCATTTAGTAACTTACCACCTATTCCATATACTTGCAACATCTGCCACATTGCTCCTCTATCCACTCTGTTATATGCCTCATATATACTCTGCGGAAAAATATAAAGGTTTCCCATTAATTAATGTCATGTTTAAATTTATTAAGAGATTTATTAAAAATTTTCATTATTCCGAGATCGAGACCGCGAAAATTTACTGTGATTTACCCGAAAATATAGATGGAAATTCATTTATGAATTTTGTCAATGTAAATTGTTTAGTTAATTTATTTTGAGAAAATTTTCGCATGTGAGTTTATTCAGAGATGTTGTATACGTTACTATTGTTTTATCTATTAATAAATCCTGTACGTTCTCAACATTCCTGAAGTTTGATTGCATTTTATAAATCCTCCTGAAGCCTCGGCTTTACCTCTTGTTATTTTTATTTTCCTCTTGATATACCGATTTGCTTGATACCACGATTTTAATACAAAATTTTAATATATTTTTAATATTTTTTTAATTATTTCCTCTTCCATGATTCATCACTCGTTGTATCACTGTTGACCCGTGCGCCATCTTCCTCGTGTCTGTGTGGCGGCCACATCCACCATCACCTCACCCACACCGTCTTCAACCTACACCGTTTTTTTCAACAGGCGAAGGTAGGTTGACCCTTTGATTATACTAGTATTATACCGTTAATATGGCTTTTGTATTATTCTAATATGATAAGAAAACTTTAATAATGCTTCCAGTTTGTTTTGTTATCACTATATTTCACTGTATAGGCTTTGGTATGTCACGTGTTACATACAACAGGTATGACACATGTGTGGTTACATACAACCGGTATGACACATGTGTAGTAACATACAGGTAACGGTAACGATTCTGAACAACATTTACTCCCTGGTATTGACGAACCCACAACTCCTAGTATTTAACGGTTTAACAAATAGCAAACACCGGTTTTCATGAAGATATTGTTTACATTTATTTGATACTGTTAACATTATTATCTCTCTACATTTCATCACTCTGGGAGTCTGGATTCCTAAAAAGCCAGAGTGACTTTTACGTAGAGAATTTCACGTCATCCTTTCTTTCTTATAAAATGAAATATACACAAAACTTCGCATTTACAATAATAACTGAGGAATTACTACTACTTGACAGAAAGTCACTATCCGTCACTGTCAGCATTTTATAATACTTTCGTATTGAGTCGGGATTATCTTGCACGTACGCATTTTTTTTTTAATTCTTTTGACAAACATATAATCTATGGTTTCCATTCTATTGCCCTCTATTTTATTTTCGATCCGTTCTTCTCCAATACTAAATTAAGCATTATATTCATTATCCTACAAATGAAGTGTGGGAGTATGAGTTGAGCGACAGGTTTTAAGGGTTGTTAGTTATGTTAAATCGTATTGACGGCACAAGTCGTAAGGTTATATACTGTACAACACATAGGACTTAATCATGAATAGGATTATTGCAAATATCGCGTATTACACTGTTTACAAGCATTACGCTCGTAGTGCTACAATCGAAGAATTACATCCCTTACAGACACTATACGTAGTTAATCACTGGAGGAGGATTATTATTATTATTATAATCAAGGGGGAGCGCTAACGATTACAGGCTGGGGGGTTGAAGGCATTCAGGCTTAATTCGGGACTCGAGCACTAGATCAATTACCACTATCAAGAGACCCCTCACCAACATCAAGGAACCTTCCTTGAGGGGCTGGTAGGAGGAGACTCCGAGATGGTGCACACATCTAGTCGTCAAGACAACGCTAGTGAGCCAGGTCGACGTTTAGTTAAGACAAACTCGAAGATAAATCCCTCAGCTTTAACACAGAGTTTTATTTTAAAAATGGCTTTCCAGTAGTTTCTTTCATCCCTAAAATGATTTTAATCAGTTAAACGACAGTGTTCATAAACTGCAATTCTTTTTGCAGAGAAAAAATAATGCGTCTAGAGATGTCTGAGGTTAATTATTCTGCCTTACGAACTATGTATATGGCCCCTCACAAACCTTGTGTATTGTCCTCATAAACCATGTATACTGCTGTCACGCAGCTATGTATATTGCTGTCACGCAGCCATGTATATTGCTGTCACGCAGCATGTATATTGCTGTCACGCAGCTATGTATATTGCTGTCACGCAGCCATGTATATTGCTGTCACGCAGCCATGTATATTGCTATCACGCAGCCATGTATATTGCCTTCATGAATGCATGTATTTTACTTCCACGAATGTGTCAATATTCACTTGCGGCTTCTTTCTCTTACAGCATTTGTGATCTCAACGTTTATCCCGCCACAGGACGGATATCGCTGAAGAAACTTGACAAAAAATAATTGAAAAACTGGTAAACTACATAACTGTGAATAACACAATGAAAAATATCTGCTCTAATATATGTATCAACACATGCTTGCTGCCTCGAAGCTCAGCTCTGAGCTACTGAAGCATCGTTCACTCTAACTGCTTTTGCAAACTTAATTTCATCGGCGTTTTTTAATTTCTTGATTTATTTTGTTACTCGCAACTTTATTCTTCATTTGAATAATCGACGATTTATTTTATTTTCAAAACTGTTTTATAATTTTGTTAATACTACTGACAATGTCTATAAGCGTGCTAACACTCGGTCGTTTTTATCAGAATTAAAAAAAAAATTATTTAAGATTTATTTTCTCCATGCAATTTAAAAAATAACCTTCATTTTATTTTGAAATGAACCATATATCACCACTATCCCTAAATATAATATTAATTTGTATGAATGTAATATCTTGTGCAATTTTGAAAGGAAGAAATTTTTATATGCCACAAATCTGATTAATGATGTGATCATTGATGTCTCACACACACACACACACACACACACACACACACACACACACACAACACACACACACGACTATTTATGCTCACATACAAAACATGGGTATACACAATACGTAAACACATATATGGATAACATGTAGACACATATACACAACGTGTATGAGTTTGGTTAGTGTATGTTCTCCCATTCACTGATTTTTCAGACTGATGAATCTCCTAAGTGTGTATGAGGAGTCATGTGAAGGCTGCATTTTAACCAAGTATTAATTTTAAATAATTTATTAATTATGAATTAATTATTTTATTTTTTAATCCTATGTTAATTCTTACACAGCTTTTTTACGAGATATATTTTGTTGTTGCCGCTTCTGTTATTTCGGTTTTTGCCTAATATAATATATATATATATATATATATATATATATATATATATTATATATATATATATATATATATATATATATATATATATATTATATATATATATATATATATATGTTTCCTTCATAAGTGTTACTTTAATTTTCTGTTAAGTAATTGTTTCATTTTATAGATGCCTCGTGTCATTAGACTTTATTAACAAATTATTGGATTTGAGTGAGATATGTGCACACTTAAATAGTATTTTCCATTTATACTTCAGCATATTTAAAAATTTATATTGCTTATCAGGTGATTTTTTTTCTGCTTAGATCTACTACTCTGGGTATTTTACTATCATTTTACACTTATGTATGAATTTATGTTTACGTTTTTTTCATTTAGTAGACTTTCATGCTTAATTACTTAAATAATAATCCACAAATTGATTTTGTATAATTGCATTAATTTTCTTCAGCCTGTCACTGTTAAACTTGCTTAAGCTTGGGAAGCCTAGTACAGCCTGAGAGTTTCACCAACAATCATTAATATTGTTGTTTGTTATCCCAGTAGTTTATTTAACGTTTAGTTGCTAGTTTGCCATTACCCACATAATAGCGAAACACACATCATAGGTCCAAAACCTTTGTACAATAATAATTTAAACTCTTTTAAGCTTATCTCTATCATGTTCGCAATAAAGCTAATAGAATCCTTGGCTTCATATCAAGAAGCATAAATAATAGGAGTCCTCAGGTTGTTCTTCAACTCTATACATCCTTGGTTAGGCCTCATTTAGATTATGCTGCACAGTTTTGGTCACCGTATTACAGAATGGATATAAATTCTCTGGAAAATGTACAAAGGAGGATGACAAAGTTGATCCCATGTATCAGAAACCTTCCCTATGAGGATAGACTAAGGGCCCTGAATCTGCACTCTCTAGAAAGACGTAGAATTAGGGGGGATATGATTGAGGTGTATAAATGGAAGACAGGAATAAATAAAGGGGATGTAAATAGTGTGCTGAAAATATCTAGCCTAGACAGGACTCGCAGCAATGGTTTTAAGTTGGAAAAATCCAGATTCAGGAAGGATATAGGAAAGTACTGGTTTGGTAATAGAGTTGTGGATGAATGGAACAAACTCCCGAGTACAGTTATAGAGGCCAGAACGTTGTGTAGCTTTAAAAATAGGTTGGATAAATACATGAGTGGATGTGGGTGGGTGTGAGTTGGACCTGATAGCTTGTGCTACCAGGTCGGTTGCCGTGTTCCTCCCTTAAGTCAATGTGACCTGACCTGACTAGGTTGGGTGCATTGGCTTAAGCCGGTAGGAGACTTGGACCTGCCTCGCATGGGCCAGTAGGCCTTCTGCAGTGTTCCTTCGTTCTTATGTTCTTATGTTCTTATGTGTTTGGCTAACAATTAACTACTAACATAAGATGTATTAAGACTATCATAGATTCATAAAATATGTTGCATTATTTTTTTGTGTAGTCTAACATGTTTTGGAAATGTGATTAGAATAGATTTTTACTGTGTTTAAAGTTTCTTAAAAAATTTAGCTAATTTTATACAGCAGTTTTTCTTCAGATTTTAAACCTAAGGAACTGTTCCCTTCATTTATCCGTTTGTTTTGTAATTAAAAGATTTATTTACCCTCTTAGCATAGATATGATATATACTCATAAGTTTTGCTATACAGTGCAGTTTTTCGTAAATATGGATGAACTAGCACGTCCAAAATTGAATAGCTCAATGGCGAGGCTTTCATAGTACGCACTGTTCAGTTTTCGATGCACTTTTTCAGCAGCATTTACAGAAAAAAATGCTGTCTGACAGAGGAGCTTGATAAGAGAGAGCTAACTGTATTTTTCACTGGTTTTCATCATTGCAAACTTGATTATCATTTTAATGATATAGTGAGTTTCTTCACGAAAAAAAAATAGTCGGGAAAATCTAGGGCAAAAATGTGCTGCAGAGCATCAACTGCTGCTAAGTACATTGGACAATATGCGTTTCAAGAACTGGACGTCAGACAACGTATCGTTCAGTGCGAATTTATGCCAAACTGAACATTGTCTTAAACACGTTAATCAGCGGTGTTATTTTTAACATTTAAAAAAAAAAGCTACAATTAGTCTTTTTCTTATTGATAACTCTGAAAAAATTAGCTCAGTACAACTCAGATATTGTCCAGGCTAGGGTATCTTAGCTCGGATCAGATAGCCAGTGTTCCTGGAGTTACTTTCTAAGTGCTCTTCGCAATACCTCTCGTGGGTCGCCTTACCGTTCCTTCTCCTGCAGAACCTGAGGAAGGACAGACCAACGAGACGGCCCTGGCCCACATGAGGGAATTCCACACAATCAAAGAGACTATCCAAGACCTCCATGAAAAGGTGGAGATGGAGGCCGGCTCCATCACCCAGGACCAGAAGTACTTCGCTGAATACCTCTACGGCGTCAAAAACTTCAAGCCCTGGATGGAGGAGGCTGAGACTGTCATCAAGACCCAGCTGAATAAGCCGCCAAGCTCGAAGATGCTAAAGCCCTTCTGGAGGAAGTGAAGGTATGTTACAGCGATGAGACTGTAGTAATAGCAGTGGTGTCGAGTATAGTAATAGTAGTGAAAGAAATTGTTGTAGTAGTGGTAGTAGTGAAAGAATTTATTGTAGTAGTGGTAGTAGTGAAAGAATTTATTATAGTAGTAGTGAAAGAATTTATTATAGTAGTAGTGAAAGAATTTTTTGTAGTAGTAGTGAAAGAATTTATTATAGTAGTAGTGAAAGAATTTTTTGTAGTAGTAGTGAAAGAATTTATTATAGTAGTGAAAGAATTTATTGTAGTAGTAGTGAAAGAATTTATTATAGTAGTGAAAGAATTTATTGTAGCAGTAGTGAAAGAATTTATTGTAGCAGTAGTGAAAGAATTTATTGTAGCAGTAGTGAAAGAATATATTGTAATAATATTGTATCAGTAGTGAAAGAATATGTTGTAATAATAGTAGAAGAGAATTGTTCCAGCCACCGGTATTGTGACTTTAATTTTTTGTCAGTATAATAGACATGGTCCAAGGACTCCCGAGCCTAAGCTTAGGAAGTGTTGATGTTATAATTACATAGCCCAGCTTGACACCATGCATGGAACCAGCGCTAATTTCAACGTTGCGTGAATTTACCCAAACCCCTGACTGCCAGACGCATCGCGGCCGTTATTTTTTTTTAATTTACATATTTACAATCAAATATGCGTTACAGGTTCATAGTAAGCTAAAATTTCCTAACCTTGTCTCGTATAATCTAGCATAACATTTGGAAATTAATTTTTTTTTACTAATTGCAGTGAACGTTCATAAACTAACGTTGAGAGTTACATAAGATAATGAACAGTGTGAAGTGAGGATATGGTGGAGTCTTCTGCTAATTAAACCGATATGAATGGTAGTTTTTTGGTTATTTTTACTATTTATAATATATGCTTTTCACTTCATTAGTAATTTATTTCTTATAATTATATTTGAATTAATTATTATTTTATAATTCATTATTCATATAATTATTATTTACATAGCCAATAGCAAGGTGACTTCCAAAGAACCAAAAATGTATTTTTCTGATATTGTTAGATTATTACATTTTATATGGCTTCGTACTTGAATCCCACTTCCATCAGAGTGACCTGAATTATAAGATGTTCATGTACCTTGATTGATTCTTAAGTCCCGAGGCTACCAAAACATGCATCTTCTCAGGATGATGAATCATCCACACATGCATGACCTTGCGTATAGCAAGCCAGTACCCCATTCCAACTCGTTTGACCTTTGTGGTATCTAGATTTTTCTGGTTATCCTTATTCTCTTGGTATCCGTGTTCTTGTATCCAAATCCACGACTAAGGAGAACTTAGATCGAATTCCACGCATTGCAATACCTACTGCAGACTAATAGGAAGCAGGTGATAAATGTTGACACTGTGTAGTAGAGTATTATTGTGTATATACCAGATTAAATACTCCTCCTCCGGTCATGACCGTCTTCTTGTATTCCAATACTCTTCCGTTAAAATTATTGCTAGCTTCACGCCGTCATCCCTCTGAGATAACAAAGAGTATATTATCCCCTGTGGCAGGTTATTTATATATATCAGTAATAATATTGGTCATGATACTGATCCCTGAAGGGCCTTGAATATTACCTTAGCCAATATTCATACATTTTCCCATGCTGTCACTTCGTCTTTTATTCTAGATATTACGTGGTACAAGAGTGTATTTCCTTTTACCCTCTACTATTATTATTATTATTATTATTATTATTATTATTATTATTATTATTATTATTATTATTATTATTATTATTATTGTTGTTATTTCTACTGTTCTTGTATTACATTTTCATATTCTCGAAAAAATCGAAAGGGTTATACAGCTCTTTGGGAATAGGAAACAATTAGAATTGATCCGAGGAAGGAGAAGGTGGATCACACGTCCTGGATCAAAAGCCCTTGACCATCAGGAAGGCACCCACGATGAGGGGTTCATTTTTACCCCATTATGTCTGTCTAGCAAATGGATCAGTCTTCGGTGACACACTCACACACATGTAACGTCACACTGTGCTAGTATCCTCCATACATACACTTTTCACTTCTGTGTTGCAGAAGTTTGAGACGGCGTGCCAGGAGAACAAGGGCAAGCTGGACGCTGCCTCGGAGTCCAGGTCGAAAATGGAGAAGCAGACGAAGGCAGACAACGAGGTGGAAACACTAAATGGTCGGTGGAGCCTGGCTAAGAAGACAGCTGACGAACGAGTGGCCAAGGTGAGCAGCAGGGGACTGCTGGCCAAGTTTTACCCTGGAAGGTGACCGGCGGTGATAGTGACTGATAGCCGGTTGTTGTGGTGCTATTTGCTGGGGAGGAACTGTTATGGTGCTAGTAGCTGTGTAGAAAATGTAGTGGTGCTAGTTACTGTGGAGATATTCCCGCGGTAATAGTCATGTGACTAAAACTTCCAAGGCAGCCTTCAGACATAAGACGACTTCATCAGTCTAAGGGCACTGTACTCTTACTTACAGCGCGTTGTTAGGATTTAGCTTAATTTACACTTGCAATATCAGTATAATGAAATTAAAAATTATGCGTCGTACTAAGGTACCTTTGACAACTAGTAACAACAACAACAACAACAACAATAACAACAACAACAACAACAACACCACACACACACACACAAACACACACACACACACACACACACACATACACACACACACACACACACACACACACAGGTCCGAAGACAATGAAGGTTTGTTATATGCAGAGATTCTAACAGCCAACTGCAGTAGCAAGGGACAGCTGGTCATGAAAGACAGTTCACTGAGAATAGAAGTTTCAGATATGACAGGGACTGAAGGCAAGAACATGTCAATGGAAGGAAATAAAATGCCTCAGAGGAAGCAGATGGAGACTCAGTGGGAGGAGGAAAGGGCGAGGTCAGTTTTTGTGTACGGGCTCCAAGAAGCCAAGGGGGCCAGGGGGCCAACTTTGAAGAAATAAAACAGGAGGAGAAAAAAATGATTGAAGGCATCATGAAAACAATAGGGGAGGGCAATATGACCCAGGTGACAAATTTTCAGAGAATTGGTGGTTTGCGAGTGGAAGGATACGGCCTGTCAGAGTAACTTTCAAGGAAGAATCAGTTCGAACCAGGATTCTGCAAGAGAAAGCAAGACTGAGGACAAAGAGGGGTACCAGAGAGTATACCTCGACCGCGACAGAACACAAGAAGAAAGGACTACACTGAAAGAGAGGGTACAGAGAAGCAAGGAGAACGAGAAGCAATGAAAATGAGCAGGACCCAGACACAGGAGGAAGGGCAAACACACCCCACAGAATCTCCCACCAAAAGACTCCACCCGCGACATTCCCAACGCATCTGAGCAACCTATACTACAACCCACTCACTGTTCCCTCTGCCACCAACCCCCATATCACAAACCTCACCCCAACAGCTGTCCCTTATGGGCATTCTGACCCCACCCCCATCAACACAAACCCCACCTACACCACAGCCCATATAGGCCCCACCAAGGCTCTCGCTCCCCCAACCCCAATATACTTGCATGACCACAATGATAGAAAAGAAACTAAAGGTTTGGTACACAAACGCGGATGGAATAACTGAATAAACATGAGGAGTGGAATGAAAGAATCAGTGAAAAATCCCCAGACATCATAGCAGTCACAGAAACAAAACTCGCTGAGGACAATAACAGACACAATCTTCCCAACAGGATATCAGATCCTGAGGAAAGATAGAAGGAGTAGAGGGGGAGGAGGGGTGTGCACTGCTCATAAAACACCAATGGGGATTTGAGGAAATGGAAGGCATGGACATGATTGGAGAAAGAGACTACATTGTAGGTACAATTCAGTCCGGAGAAACATAAAGTAGTCATTGGAGTGATGTATAACCCACCACAGAACTGCAGGCCAAGAGAGGAGTACGAAGAAAACAACAGGGTGATGGTGGACAACTGGCTGAGGTGGCAAGAAGAGCTCACTCGAGCAGAGCAAAGTTACTGGTAATGGGCGATTTCAACCACAGGGAGATCGACTGGGAAAACCTGGAGCCACATGGAGGTCCCGAAACATGGAGAGCCAAGATGATGGATGTGGTACTTGAAAACCTCATGCATCAACATGTCAGGGACACAACCAGAGAGAGAGGGGAGGATGAGCCAGCAAGACTGGATCTTGTGTTCACCCTGAGCAGTTCAGACATTGAGGACATCACTTACGAGAGGCCCCTTGGAGCTAGCGATCATGTGGTTCTGAGTTTTGACTATATAGTAGAGTTACAAGTGGAGAAGGTAACAGGAACTGAAGGGGACAGGCCAAACTATAAAAGGGAGGACTACACAGGTATGAGAAACTTCCTGCAGGAGGTTCAGTGGGACAGAGAAATGGTAGGAAAATCAGTAAACGAGATGATGGAATATGTGGCAACAAAGTGCAAGGAGGCAGAGGAAAGTTTTGTTTCCCAAGGGAAACAGAAATAATAGGAAGACCAAAACGAGTCCTTGGTTTACCCGAAGGTGTAGGGAGGCAAAAACTAAGTGCAACAGAGAATGGAAAAGGTACAGGAGGCATAGGACCCAGGAAAACAAGGAGATTAGTAGAAGAGCCAGAAACGAGTATGCGCAGATAAGGAGGGAGCCCAGCGACAGTATGAAAACGACATAGCATCGAAAGTCAAATCTGACCCGAAACTGCTGTATAGCCACATTAGGAGAAGACAACAGTCAAGGACCAGGTGATAACGCTGAGGAAAGAAGGTGAGAACTCACAAGAAACGATCAAGAGTGTATGTGAGGAGCTCAACACGAGATTTAGGAAGTATTTACAGTAGAGACAGGAAGGACTCTGGGGGGACAGACCAGATGGGACACCAACAGGAATACACCAACAAGTGTGGACGACATACATACAGATGAGGAGGAGGTGAAGAAACTGCTAAGGGACATCGATACCTCAAAGGCAATGGGACCGGACATCTCTCCGTGGGTCCTTAGAGAGGGAGCAGATATGTTGTGCGTACCACTTACCACAATCTTCAACACATCCCTGGAAACTGGGCAACTACCTGAGGTATGGAAGACGGCAAATGTAGTTCCCATTTTCAAAAAAGGAGACAGAAAAGAGGCACTAAACTATAGACCTGTGTCATTGACGTTTACCTGGAGTTTACCTGGAGAGAGTTTCGGGGGTCAACGCCCCCGCGGCCCGGTCTGTGACCAGGCCTCCTGGCCTCCCGTGTATAGTATGCAAAATTATGGAGAAGATTATCAGGAGGAGAGTGGTGGAGCACCTGGAACGGAACAGGAGTATAAATGCCAACCAGCACGGATTCACGGAAGGCAAATCCTGTGTCACAAACCTTCTGGAGTTTTATGATAAAATAACAGAAGTAAGACAAGAGAGAGAGGGGTGGGTTGATTGCATCTTCTTGGACTGCAAGAAGGCCTTTGACACAGTTCCTCACAAGAGATTAGTGCAGAAGCTAGAGCATCAGGCGCATATAACAGGAAGGGCACTGCAATGGATCAAGAATACCTGACAGGGAGGCAACAACGAGTCATGGTACGTAATGATGTATCACAGTGGGCACCTGTGACGAGCGGGGTCCCACAGGGGTCGGTCCTAGGACCAGTGCTATTTTTGGTATATGTGAACGACATGACGGAAGGGTTAGACTCAGAAGTGTCCCTGTTTGCAGATGATGTGAAGTTAATGAGGAGAATTAAATCTGATGAGGACCAGGCAGGACTTCAAAGAGACCTGGACAGACTGGACACCTGGTCCAGCAAATGGCTTCTCGAATTTAATCCTGCAAATGCAAAGTCCATGAAGATAGGGAAGGGCACAGAAGACCACAGACAGAGTATAGGCTAGGTGGCCAAAGACTGCAAACCTCACTCAAGGAGAAAAGATCTTGGGGGGAGTATAACACCGAGCATGTCTCCGGAAGCACACATCAATCAGATAACTGCTGCAGCATATGGGCGCCTGGCAAACCTGAGAACAGCATTCCGATACCTTAGTAAGGAATCATTCAAGACACTGTACACCGTGTATGTCAGGCCCATACTGGAGTATGCAGCACCTGTTTGGAACCCGCACTTGATAAAGCACGTCAAGAAACTAGAGAAGTACAAAGGTTTGCAACAAGGTTAGTTCCAGAGCTAAGGGGAAGTCCTATGAAGAAAGATTAAGGGAAATCGGCCTGACGACACTGGAGGACAGGAGGGTCAGGGGAGACATGATAACGACATATAAAATACTGCGTGGAATAGACAAGGTGGACAAAGACAGGATGTTCCAGGGAGGGGACACAGAAACAAGAGGCCACAATTGGAAGTTGAAGACACAAATGAGTCAGAGAGATAGTAGGAAGTATTTCTTCAGTCATAGAGTTGTAAGGCAGTGGAATAGCCTAGAAAATGACGTAGTGGAGGCAGGAACCATACACAGTTTTAAGACGAGGTTTGATAAAGCTCATGGAGCGGGGGAGGGGAGAGGGCCTAGTAGCAACCGGTGAAGAGGCGGGGCCAGGAGCTAGGACGCGACCCCTGCAACCACAAATAGGTGAGTACAAATAGGTGAGTACACACACACACACACACACACACACCAACAAAACACACACACACGCACACACACACACACACACACACACACACACACACACACACACACACACACACACACATACACAAACACACACATACACAGCAGTTTAATATAAAAAAAAAACTACAGTAAGGTCATTTATAGGTGAGCGTGCGAAGTGCCACTTTTTTGTAAGTTTCCAGATTTTAGAATTGTCTAATAACACTCTTTTAAATTTTAGAACATTGAAAAAAAACAGCATCTATTATATAACAAATGCATTCACCTGACCTTATTTCCCCCACCAGTCCGGGGCGCTGTGGACACGGGTCAGACTGCAGAAGGTGAGGGAGGTTTACGGAGACCATCGCTAACACCCCTGGCTCCACGCCCCCACGGGCCACCCTCGAGGTCTTTAAAAGTTAAAGGGAGATCAACGATAAGAAAGTCAAGCTCCTCCAAAACCCATTTAAAATAGAAAACCTCCGTCTTGCTTCCTACCGAAAGGGGTGAAATGGGGGAAATAGCCAGGATGGGAATGGGGGAGGGTAGGATGATAAAGGGTAAAAGACAGAACAATGGGGGGTTTTAAAACGGCGGGAAAAACAAATGCATAAACGATTATTTCAGAAGGACCAACCATAGTGGCCAACAAGGGGCGGGCCAACGAGACTCGCCCCGCAACCCAATTAGGTAAGATGACAAA